AAAATATTTTTTTACTACCTCATTTGATTCTCTCTTAACCCCTTGACTGCACTGTAGAGGTATCTCATACGTCTGGATAATCTGCCACTCAGTGTGCTGTAAATGTACCTAGTACGACCGCTATAGCCCATGTTTTGTTTTGTAGATTTTTCAGCTTCTATTAAGTTTTGAATAAAGAGAGTGGCATCCATCCTACCCCCTGGGGCAGTGCCTCTGACTGTAGTGTCTTTAGGCCATTCCCAAAGGGGGGACAATTCTCGTTCAAGCACAGTAGAATTGTAAATGGGCTTATTCATCATGTCATGCTCATAACTGTACCTGATCTGCAACAGGGAACTGCTGCTTTTTCTTTCCTAGTCCTTACTATTGTCATTTTCCTCTACTTCTTTTGTATGTTTGTCACACTCTTGTGACCTGCTATTTCCTGGGTGCCTTGATAGTCGAAGCAGACCTTGTGCTGTTGAAGCTAGAGAGGTGAGCAGAGTAAGTCTGATTCCCTGTAAGGACTTCTCTGTTGACACCCACCCCTTGGCGCTCATATGACCTTATGCAGTTGCGAGTGCCGTAAAACCCTCTACTAATAAATAAAAATAAGAATGGCCTCCCTTGAAAGTTTATTGATTTTAGCTATGAGTTCATGATCTATATACAGACTATTGGACTGGAAGCGCAGGTTCTACAAAACAAAGCAAGATGTGTTGTTTTACTCACCACATCATGGGAGGCTTATGTGTTGACTCGGAATGCTTATTAGTCTCTGTACTTCATACTCGTTTACACCGTTATAGCTCTATCTGAGTCGTGTCTATGGATAAAACTGTCTTTTCATTTCTCTTTCTATTGAAAGTGGCGGTTCCACTGACTGAAGTGTCTTTAGGCCGTTCCCAAAGGGGGGATATTTCTCGTTCTTATGCACAGTAGAATTGTAAATAGGCTGATTCAACAATGTCACGCTCATAACTGTGCCTGAACTACAATAGGGAACTGCTGCTTTTTCTTTCCTAATCCTTACTATCATCATTTCCTCTATTTCTTTTGTACGTTTGTCACACTCTTGTAACCCGCTATTTCCGGGGTGCCTTGAAAGTCGAAACAGACTTTGTGCTGTTGGTGAGTGGTTGGCGGGTGCTCTGGTGTGGTTTGCTTCTTCTTTCCTAACAAACATCTATCGTCCTTATCTCCCCTTCTTCTTTTTTATGTTTGTTATTTTCTTGTGACACCTCCAATCTTCTGGCGCTCATTTGACCTTTTGCAGTTGCGAGTGCCGTAAAACCTCTACTAAACCTAAAACTTTCTGATGTTGAAGCTAGAGAGGTGAGCAGAGGAAGCCCGATTCCCTGTAAAGACTTCTTTGTTGACATCCACCCCTTGGCGCTCCTATGACCTCATGCTGTTGGAGTGCATTAAATCCTCTACTATGAAAAAACAAACAAAAAACCCTCAACTTTCTATTGAAATATGGTTTAGCGGGTAGCCCGAGCTTTGCTACCAAAAAAACAAAGCGAGGTATGTTGTCTTTCTCACACACATCTTGACAGACGGAGCCAACATTCAGTTTCAGTACTTTTAAGCTGTTTACGTTGTTATTCTATGCAGGTCTTGTCAATGGTTGAATTCTTCTCTTCATATCTCTTTCTATTATAAGTTTTACCGATCTGTCTCTTATAATAAGTGAACAACCAAAGATAAAAGATTGTGACCTGTGACGTCTTGTGCATGGTAGAATTTTCCTTAGCATGTGAGGTGCATATACAATTAACAGTCAAGGGGTTAAGCATTCTTATATTATTTTGGTACTGAGCTATGCCAGTGTTGTTGTAAATATTTAAAGTGGAATTGTGTTGCTGTTAATGTTATTAAACTGAAAACATTTGTGTTTGTAAACCACACGGACAGCCTTTACAGGGGTGAAGATTTTGAATAACCTGTGTCTATTGTGCAATTCCATTTCTCTTTGAAATATGTATCATTGTCATTGATTGGAATGATGTTAAAGGTTATTCTGTCGTTTTTTTCTCCTTCTCAAAAGTGGAAATAAAATTATTCTTGTTCTTTCATTTTATTTGTATGCATTGTTGACTTTTTGGGGGATCCCCTTATTTCTTTTATAGTTTTTCTGCTTTGTTTTCATCTGTCTCCTTAGCTATGGTTCAGAAACCATTTACTCATTATATATATCTATGTGACTGCTTGCTTTCACTAGCAGTACATATAGTCATTGGCATTTCCTGACCTCAGCATCTGTATTGATTTTTTCCAGCTTTCAAAAAAGTGGTGACAATATGAATTTATAAAACGCCTAATGCCAAGAAGGTTTTAAGTGCTGTGCAATGTATGAAGCAGAATTATCATTAAGTATAACGGACAAATCAAAAGACAGAAAATGTATATTGTGAGACCATTTATTAACAGCAAACACACACACGCACACACACGCGCGCACACACACACACACACACACACACACACACACACACACACACACACACACCACACACACACAACTCCCATGCTCGCCCACATTTACATTTTTACTTACAAAAACTGCTGGCAGAGGATAGTGTTGAATAACTGTCTTAAAATTTGTTTCAATCTTTCTGCTGAGATGGGAGGGAATTCCAAATCTTACAAGTATAGGAAGAAAAATTTCTTCCTTCCTCCCAACTTATTTGACTTCACAGTGGACACTCTCATAAGATTCTCATCAGCAGATGTCAAACGTCTTGATGTTGTGTATGACTCAATAAGGTCTTTAAGATAATTGTGATGCTTTGTTGCTCATGCACTAATGACATAAAAGAACAATGTTGTAATCAATTCTAGCTTTAAAAATTTTTTTATTAGCGGACGATAACCGTCCACCCGATAGAAAAGAGGGTCAGATTTTTCCGTCCCTCGGAGTGCCTCGGGCAGTACCTGCCTCGCTAAATCTAGTGCGCACAAGGCCGGAGGAGTAGCGGAGAACAGATTCACCTTTGATCGGAGCCAAAAGGCCGAGAAGCAATCAATTCTAGCTAGTGTAGCTTTATTAACAAAGCTGTACCATCTTTATTCGGAACTTTTTTAAAGACCAATTGGTTGCTTTTAAGCACAAGGGGGCTATCCCGAAAAACGCTGTTTTGAGAAAATCGAAGATAAAAGTTTTTGGATCCTTTCTGTTTCTTTAAAAGACAAGGAGAGTTTTCTCCTTGTTTGTAAACAAATATACACACCAATGAAACCAAACTTCTCTTATAGGTAGAGCAATGCCCACTTTTGGTGTAGGTCAAGATTTCTGGAAACCCCCGAAGTCTGGGTTAGCCTGCTTGTCCTTAATTAAAAGCGACCAATTGTGCAGCTCTATTTCTGAAGCATTGCAATCTGTTTATCATTCCAAACTTAAGTTGGCAATCCTTCGTCCACAATGCAATTATTTGCAAAGGTGATTGATTTGTTGTTTCATTTGCAATTTGTGGTCAAAGTAAATACCTAGCTTAGTTTGCCTTCTCACTAAAAGTAACATTTTCGGAACCTATCCTGTTATCAACACGACTGAGTTCAAACTTGCTGATGGTGTTACACAGTAATAACTCTGCCTTCTTTTTCATCTTTAATTTGTTGTCAATCATCCACTTTTGAACATTGTCAATGCAACAGCTCACACTGTTCAATAAGTTGGTTACATCAGACTTATGACAAGCATATGTGAGGCAGTATGGTGAAATCAGGCGCTCGTCAAAATAATGAATATCAAGAAACAGGCATTTTCCGCAAGTTCGGGAATTTTTAGCAAATTTTCGTTCTTTTTGTCTCAACACCTTTAATGCCCTTTAAAGAACACATTTCTCTGTGAATTTTACTGAAAAACATTGATTAAAGGCATAAAAAGATGTAAGTTTTCAGTTTCCATGGACTCTTAAGTTAAGGAAATAACACAACTTTGGCGGCCACTTTCTCACAAATTTTACCTCTGAAACCAGTCGACCCCCACATCCTTCAATCGCTAATATCTTGAATTGTATCATAGATAAATTGATATTTTTTCATCAAAAGCAAGGCAAATGGACAGGCTTTAAGATTATACATTACCAATAACTTCATATGCCCCAAAATTGAAAAGCGCCCGAATCTACTGCGTCATGACAAGCATATTTTATTTTGTTCTTGAGCAATCTCTAAAGTGTTGCTTCAGGCTCTGTGGAGTGTTTCATAATTAATGGAGTTTCTTTTGCTCAAAGTATTTAAGCATTAATGACATGTCCTCAAGATTTGACTTTTGATTCCTTTCAGTTCATATTACTTAGTCAGAGACATGCCTTTAGACTTCATTGAGAATCACTTTAGTGTATATTATATTCTTGCAGATTTAAACTTATATTTTAGAGTTTTCTGGAGATCGAATTTTTTTTTTCATTAGTCTACCTCTAAACCTAAAATCTGTTATTTATTTGGCATGCTGCTTTTTGGTACTTGACCCAGACTTTCAGGTATAAATTTGATTGCACAGTGGGTGACTGAAAGTGAAAGGGTCTACAGATACAATAAAAAAAATTTTAATTTGGCTTACGGTTTCAGAACTGGCACCATTTTGAGGTAGTAATTCTTCCTCCAGTTATGTTGTGCTTTATATTAACTTGCACAGAGAGAGCTTGGCTCCCTTATTTTGATGAACTATGTGACTCTAATCTAATGGGGTTTGATCAATTTGCGCACATTAAAGATCCCTTGGTGGTTAAAAATTGATGAGAGTAGGCTTCGGCCGCCACACGGGCAAATGTCAACATTTCTTAACCAACTGAAAATGTTGAATATGTCCCGCACGCTCATATGATCTTATGCAGTTGTGAGCGCTGTAAAAAAAAAACTTCCCAAAAAACAACCAAACAACAACAACAAAAAAAGTGCACTTTCATATGTGGGAATCAATTCCATATCACCACCATCCACGTATGAGTCAAGTCTGAAACAACAATGCAATTGCTTTCAAATTCTTGACTTCAGACAAAAACATGACAGTTACAAAAAGTTGAAATTATCTTTTATTCCTGAACACTTCAGTTTCGCAAATGTATTAAGTCGAGACATCAGTGCATGTGTAGCTTACATGTTGATCATACACAGTAGTCAGTCAGCCTTGTGATACTATTCTTTAAAATATATACACCAAAGACTTTTTTGACTTTCATAGCTTTGATTTGTTCTTATGATGATAAGTGTACCCACCATGATTACTATCCTCGTATGAAGAAGCAGAGCAAAATCAAATAACATTTTCAATAGACTATCAAGCTGACTGTGGATATAATTAAGGAAATGAATTGGTACAATGAAATAAGTACTGTAAGGAGCTTGTTGGTCTTGCTCTGGTGGTTGTGGTTGTACGAGGACACCTTGGCTGGTACTTGTCTTTTTTGACTTTGAATCAAAAGCATCAGGCTACAAAATGGGGCATCTCAAAATTCATTACGGTATGTTAAAACTGTCTCAGTTAATTTAATACCATTCTCTGTTGTATTTTGTATCTTACTTCTCTAGAAATACACTCCAAAACTGCTGTCTTAAAACATGTAGAAATAAGGATGATGATGATGATGACAGTAATGTTGATAATAATGAGAAGAAATAAACAATGAAAATAGTAATGATCTTTCTTAATCGAATTACCATGGCAGGTTGTTGAAAGTCTTAGGCATACTGCTTCATCTTACTTTTATTTCCTTTGTTGTTTTTTTTACCAGCATTATGTTTTCCAACATGTCCATCATAATCATAGTGACGATACACAATTCTCCTCTCCAGCTCAGAGACACGCCCAGAGCTGCCCTGGCATCTTAAGTACACAACGTCCTCCCCCCACAAAGTTTGGAGCTGTGCTCCATAGTAAGATGTTTGTCAGACTTCCCAGACAAGAAACCACATGGAATTATACAGTGATAACATACACATTTTCACATACAATTGCTCTGCATTCTTTGTTTCATTTACAGACAAATTATGTTGTAAGCCTAAAAATGGTGTGATCATAAATGCCATAATAAGTATAAAATAGTTTATGCTTTTGATTCATTGACGGCATCAGAATCGGTCCTACTTTCACCACCTTCTGTGACCATCTGTCGTCTTTTCACTCCTGGGCTTTGGCGAAGTTTTAGCACAAAATATTTGTCCTTACGTATATCACGCAGCTCATCATAAAACTTATACTTTGGTCTAAAGTTGTCATCGTTCATACTTCTGTTCGTTTCTCCTCCAATGTCATCGTCTGAGATCAGTGTTGAGCATTCTGGGGATCAGAATTCAAATTATTCAGAGAAATGCAAGAGAGGAGGTACAAGTTCAAAGTAATGGCTATAGGTTAGACAAATTGTATTGAGGCCTGTTGAAAAGCACTAAGGACTCTCATGCTAATAATACCGGCGTTCGTGGTGTAATGATTAGATATAAAAGACATTTGTATGATCCCATTCTTTCTGCTAAGATGTACTGTATCTCTTACAGCCGGGCGGGATTAATCCTGGAACATATAACAGGTAGGGTGATCGAAACAGCCTACCTCCCAAAATGATCAAAAAAGTATCCATTGGGTGTGTATAATAGTATAATATTAACATCGATTAAAATCAGTTTCAGAAAGAACCCCCCTCCCCTAAAAAAACCTAAACAAAAAACAAAACAGGAACAAAAACACATGTAGGTGGAACAGGCTCTGTTAAAAAAACCACAAAAGCCCCAACCTACTTGGCGGTCTCAAGCAAAACCAAACATGAATGTTTCAAATCAAAGTATTCAAAGAAGTCAGTTTCATCGTTAATGTATGACTTCAATACAATGTACTAGTTCCCGAAGTTTTAAAACACACACCCCTGCTCCCCCCTCAAAGAGATGGTGTTAGTGGTGGTGGTGAGTATGTGCGTTTGTGTGTGTGTGTGTGTTTGTTTGTGCGTATGTGTGCGCACAGTAAAGGAGAGGGACAAATAGACCCACAGCTAAACAGCTTAATGTCCTTTAGCAAAATGTCGATGTCTGCATTGTCATTAATACGCTTTTACCTCCCAATGACCATTGGGCAGAGGATGTGCAGAAGGTCAGTTGTAAATCCTTGATATTTATCAAATGAGCTGTTGGTTTTTGCTCTATTTATCTATCTCCTACCCAAAAGCAACACAGCACACTTCCCTCTATTCCCATGGTCCGATGGGCCCGTGGGCTGGTGAAAACAGAAGGGAACCTTTCTCAGACTGGAACTGACAGATAACAATTTGTCTGGGATAAGCGCAACACCAATGAAGTTACGATACTAGCAACAACAAAAACCACAACGAGTATGTCTAAAAGAAAGTGCTTGAAGAGTTTACCTTGATATGACCACCGTACAGGCATGATGCCTCTCTCGGGCAGTGTGGCAATTGTTATAGGCACCGCGGCGTACAGAACCGAATCAGAGAAATGGCATTCAATCTGGAGAATTGACAATCAATGAGAATAAACAATAAAATTCACAGTGAAGTGTGGCAATGCAGACATGAAATAGGACGTCATATAAAAGTGTTATAGGTCTGAGTTATGTCGGATGCGGGGCCACCCTTGCTCCACTTGGGTTGTGTGGACTATAAATTCACAGTGAGTGGCTTAATTTAAAGGAGTTACAATTTGAGGCTGACAAAGGCCACTTTAAGTGACCTAACAAACATGAAATATTTGATACCCGTGCTGTCCTTTAATTAATACGCGTTCGGTCTTCCTCTAAAATGCACTGTTCACCTCGTGAAGTTCACTGAGAGTGGGGTGGGTGGTGGTGGTGGCGTGTGTGTGTGTGTGTGGGGGGGGGGGGGGTTAACTCAGAGTACTTATATAATAATTATGTAATATTTTTAAAGGTTAACCATGGCTCTTAGCTAAAGGCACTGCCCCCCCCTCCCCTTCGTTCAGTATTCCACAGCTCTCGTGCAAGTGTAATGTCCTGGGATTGCTGAACTGGAGACGAGCTGAGACCATGTTCACCCCCCCCCCCCCCACAAGACCCCCCATCCCCCCAAAAAGGATTAAAAAACGATAATTGAACTTACTAACTCTCTCTGTATACGCTATAATTTAACTGAGGTAAATCAATACACTGAGAAAACTGAAAATTATTTGATCTGTTGTTCAAATTACACAGTGTATGGGTATCAATAGTATCATAAATGGTACCAAGTTTAGCTGGAGTGCTGAAAAGAGAGAGTTGTCATAAGCATGCACAGGCGTACTACTCACAGCCACGCAGTATCTGACGTCGATGACCCTGCATTTGCTGAGGCGGGACGGGCAGGTGGCGGGCACGTTGAGGGTTAGGCCCTTCCACTGACGCCGCTGGCCAGCACGGACACTGGCGTGGAATTCCAGCTCTTCCAGCAGGATGGGCCGGCAGAAACTCTCCCCATACGTGACCAGCTGGGGGAGAAGAAGGAATGAATGTTTAGGAAAGTCCGGGTTCGAGCCTCGGTTCGGACATGGATTTTTTATCGCCCCCTCCTGCCCACCCAGCAGTAATGGGTACTTGACTTCGATTTGGGGAAGTAAAGGCGGCGTGGAAAGGAACCTTTTTCTTCTTCATCCTACGACTATATGCCGAAGGCCCAGGAAGTTTTCTTACTAACAAGGCAATCCCCAATGTCCCGATCGGATGCGGGAACAACTTTACTTTTTTTTACTTCTTCAATACCGACGTCTGTGGCGCCTTCAAATGTTCAACATGTAGCAAACTTTTCTCGGCCAGAATTGGTCTCATCGGCCACAGCAGAATCCACTAGTCATCATAACCTTTAAATTCTTGTATTGCGCTGGGGAAATATTATTCTCCTTTGTGGATGTATTAGTCATCGTCAGACATCGACGAACGAGCTATAATTATTATTATATCGGCGTATGTGGTGTAGCAGTTAGGGTGCTTCGCCCACGCGCGCAGGAGGCTCGAGTTTGATTCGAGAATGGGGAGAACTTCTACCCAATGTCTTAAATTGTCTTTCTGTAGATATCATGTTGCATCCCTCTCAGCCCGGGTTGCCCTGACAGGCAGGTTCGAAGCCTGCCTCTTAAATGATGTTGTGTCGATGGGGACGTAAAATAACCTACATTTAAAAAAATCCACTCTCACCGGCATGCTGGAGATCATTTAAAAGGAGTTTGACCCCGTTGTGCGGGAAGGAGCAATGATTGTAAATGCTTTAATCTTTTAGGAGGCAGACTGCTTCCAGTTACCTTGTCCAAACCATAATCTGTTCAACTTAATTACTATGCTCCTACAAGAAACACGATGGTGTTCCAAAATGATAAGGGTTAATATGTGTAGAGAGGGGAAGGAGGCCCTTTTTTTAGTGCCAGATCTAAAATAGAATGTCGGCGATTTCTCTGCTCGGATGCTCTACATAAAAGAAAAGCTATTACCTCCTCCTCCTCCTCCTCCTCCTCCTCCTCCT